CTGTAGCCAAGAGTGAGCAGGTAATTTATGATCCTCATAAGGGGAGTCTACAAGATGGTTGTGTTTTCTGCAGGATTATACTTGGCGAGGAACCCGCTTTTAAGGTACTAATTATATTGTTCATTTACAATTTTCGTGTCATCGTTTAAGGTTTGCTTTGTGAGATATATGGGACATTTGAAACCAACATTAAGAGATGACATTTTAACTTGCAGCTCTATGAAGATGATAGTTGCCTTTGTATATTAGATACAAGACCATTGAGTAATGGGTAAGGTATCATTCCTCCAAGATGCAGTACATATTTATATAGTGTTGGATATTAGCTTAAACTCATTTTGTCAGATATGTCTGATGATGTATCTGCGTGATACCATTGATTATGACTTAGCTTCTATGCAATGATGTTAGCTACCTACCACTTTTATCTCGGGTAAGATTATTCATTGTTGCATGTCACTAGGTAGCTAACATCATTGCATTTATGTGAGATCTCACATTGGTTGAAGAGGGGAACAAAACATTCCTTGTAAGGGTGTGGAAACCTCTCCCTAGCATACGCGTTTTAAAACCATGGGGCTGACGGTGATATTAACGGGCCAAAGCGGACAATATCTACTACGGTGGGCTTGGGTTGTTACAGTTGGTATTAGAGCTAGACACCGTGTGGTGTGCCAGCGAGGACGCTGGGCCCCAAGGGGGGGTGGATTGTGAGATCCCACATTGGTTGGAGAGGAGACGAAACATTCTTTATAAGGGTGTGGAAACCTCTCCCTAGTAGATACGTTTTAAAACCATGAGGCTGACGACGATATGTAAGGGGGCCAAAGTGGATAATATCTACTAGCGGTGGGTTTGAGTTGTTATAGTTGGTATTAGAGCCAGACACCGGGTAGTGTGTTAGCGAGGACGTTGGGCCCCAAGGGGGGTGGATTGTGAGATCCTACATTGGTTGGAGAGGGAGACGAAGCATTCCTTATATGGGTGTGAAAACCTCTCCCTAACAGACGCGTTTTAAAACCGTGAGGCTAACGGCGATACGTAACGGGCCAAAGTGGACAATATCTACTAGCAATGGGGTTGGTTTGTTACCATTGGTATTAAAGCTAGACATTGGGCGGTGTGCCAACGAGGACTTTGTGCCCCAAGGGGGATGGATTGTGAGATCCCACATTAGTTGGAGAGGGGATGAAGCATTCTTTATAAGGGTGTGGAAACCCCGTCCTAGTAGATACGTTTTAAAACCATGAGACTGGCGACGATACGTAAGGGGCCAAAGTGGACAATATCCACTAACACTGTGCTTGAGTTGTTGCAATTTACTTTGACCTTTTCTTTAATCCATTTAAGGAGATATATTTTATTATATCCACTCCGAAAAGCTTCATCATTATCTTAGATCTTTTGGATACTTCAAAATCTTTTTCCTTAATCGTGCAAACTACGTTGAATCAAGCTCGGCTTGAAACCCTCGAGGTCTATGTCCTATTCCACAGTTTTAAACTGTAGATGTATCGAGGATGTGTTTAGGATACAAGATCCCGTGGCGATGTGCCATTATATAGTTGACCAATTAAATGTGACTTTAGGCTTCCTAATCTAACTTAGATATATGTTGATTTGAATTGTTATCCCCTTTAAGGCTCTTCTGTTTATTTTCCATATCTCAGGCACTCTCTAATTATACCAAAATCTCATTATTCTTCGTTGGAAGCTACGCCTCCTTCTGTAAGTAATCATCCACTTAAGCTATACGTTCTAAAGTACTTGTCAAAATATATATATGCATGTTTGTTTTTGTACATACATGTGTGAGCTACCTTGTGGTACATACGTGTATCACAGTGTGGGCGAGCGTGCCGAGACGAGTGTCTCGGGCGACTTCCTTTGAAATGAGTTTTTGAAGGACCGTATCAGATGGCATAGGTGTGCCGGTATTGCGTCCTAGCCCGCGTGTTGGAGGTTGCTACATACACCCGCTATCCGGTACGGTATCCGTAAATGACTCGACATGGGCATAGGAGGGCCAATGGCTCGATAGAACCCTGATGGATGAATGTTCAGGAAGTCCTGATGAGATGAAAGACACGCGGGCCCATTCTCTCGATGGCATGACCGAGCGAGTTATGATGGCCGACGACATCCTGAGACTCAGGATGGTGTCAAGACATATGGATCCTGTCGATGGGGATCGAGATAGCAAGATAAGATACGACGTTGCATTGAGAGACCTTGGTCCGAGCAGAGCCAAGGTCAAACCGAATGACTTGGCCTTGTGTAGAGGCAAGTCGGATGTGTCGCAGACGATTGAACATGCATGCGCAGGCGGCATGTGTGGTTGAACAAGCTTGGATTCGATATATATATATATATATTTATTTATTTATTTATTTGGGTTCTCTCATTTGTTTATCGATTTTCTGATGATTTATGTATTTATTTTGTCTATCTTCTATCTACTTACTGAACAGGTGATAGCTGCAATGTGTTCAAAAGTTCCATTAATTAGCAATGCAATCATGAAGTCTACCGGCAGTGGTATGAACCGACATTTATGTGCTTCATTCTATGTTTCTGTCTTCTCTTATGTTTGTCAAATGTTTGGTTTTTCACATGTTGGGAATTCTGGCATGTTTGAATTTGAAATTCATGTGGTCGTGTTTCTGGTTTGAAAGACAGAAACATACAATCTTGTCCCCATTTAACTGTTAATTTTGTTTTGAAATGTGCAAGATAATTCGAGCATTTATTTATGTTTAGGAATGTATCTACATAGCCGTATTGTCTGTTGATTTTGTATTACAAACGCTTTTTATGTAACCGCACCAGCACAAACCCACCGCTAGAAGATAGAATCTTGGTTCATATCTAATTTGATCTATTTCCTATTTTTTTTAATCTGTGTTGGATGTTTGTTGCTTCAAGTAGTTTCAACTGACATGAAGAGAAACTTGTATCATGCAGATTCATTCAACTTATTAGTTAACAATGGTGTGGCTGCTGGTCAAGTTATATTCCATGTAAGTTGCAACAGATCTCTATTATTGTAACCGTCCAAGCCCACCGTTTGTAGATATTGTCTGCTTTGGCTCGTTACGTATTGTCGTCAGCCTCACAGTTTTAAAACGGGTCTACTATGGAGAGGGTCTAGTCCTACTCCAATCTGTGTCTCGCATTGTCTGGTGACTGGCTCTGATACCATTTGTAATAACCCAATGGTATTAGAGCTAGACACTGGACGGTGTGCTAGCAAGGATGTTGGGCTCCCAAGGGGGGTGGATTGTGAGGGCCAACATCGGTTGGAGAGGAAAACGAAGTATCCCTTATAAGGGTGTGGAACCTTCTCCCAAATAGACGCGTTTTAAAACCATGAGGTTGACAGCGATACATAACGAGCTAAAGTGGATGACCTTGGACTGTTACACTTAATCTTTTCTATGCCTCTTGTAGTCAACATAGGTTTCAGTAATGGTAAAATCCCATAAACATGTGCATTTAAGTTAAATTCTATTCGACCAATTTAAGCATAGCTCAATTGAGTGAGAAACTACAACCTCAACCAATATGTCAGAAGTTCAAATCTTCTCATAGTTTGTTGAAAGCTAAAATTTACCCGACGTTTTTTGTTCGTATGAATCTGGTAGCTTTAAGTTTCATCTTACATACAACAAATCTTTGCTAATCTTTGTGTAAGCTTGAAACTATCAGACTCACATTCACATAATTCCACGCAAGGCGAGGGATTGCTTATGGGAATCCGAGGTACATGTTACCATACCAGTTGATATTGTATTTTGAACGATCGAATCATTGACACACGAACTATAAACACCGAGTTGATGCAGAGTTTGCAGAGAAGAACGCTGAAATTTGACGAGGAGGCGTCGAGGCTAGCAGAAAGCATACAAGAAATGCTACACAGCACCAAAGAGAATGATAGCAGCAAGGTTCAAGAATCAAATCTGAGTGGAAATTAGCAATGTAATTAGGGTGGTGTTGCAATTTGAGCTTGTATTATTTTGTGTACCATATTCATGTAATTTCAACTACAGTTTATTCTTTTTGAGTACCACAAAATTTGAATACTTAATAAAATGGAAGGCTTGCTTGGTTGTAAACTTTGGTTGTGGTTCGACATGGTATATATCTTCAACCAAGAAGATAGAGATTTGACATAGAACGGAGTACAAGTATGAGATTTTAAGTATTGTGAGTCGTGTACTCAGATATATATGTTCAACCAAGAGTATGAGTATGAGATTTTAGGTATTTTGAATACGTGTACTCGGGTATATATGTTCGATCAAGAGGATAGAGATTTGAAATAAATATATAGAACGGACATTTTATTATTATTATTATTATAAATGCAAATAAAGATGTCGCATGGTGGGGACAAGGAAGCTTTCTTTGTTTCCATCTCTGTCACTTATTTCTTTTCTATTTTTTTTCGAAAATATTTCCGGTGTAAATTATTTATTTTTTAAAATATTATTTTAAAGTTTTCATTTTTCAATATATTAAAATTAGGTAAAAAAAAATATTTTTTCGAAGTAACAAAATAATCTACCATATAACTTTTAAATATTATAATTACCATCTCAAAATTAACTCATTTATTTTTAATATAACCAATATATATATTTATATTTAATCTAGTACTCGACCTCATTCGACCTCATTTATCATGATTCCCTCAATTTTCGTCTAAATGGAAAATTCTCTCTCCATTTGACGGAGAGTTTGGACTTTGCAAATAAAATGAATATCTCTAAACACAAATGATCGGAACATAATCAAATAAATAAATATCAAAGGCATCTTTGTTTCATACAAAATAATCATATATATATATATAAGAAAACAATTGGGTAAAGAAAGATGAGATGACACGTGTAGAAGCACAATTGGGCAGAAGTAGATGAAGGATATCAAATGAATGGCTCCCTGTGTGTAGCTTTGTGCGTGGTGGCACTCATTGACACAAACCAATAATATTAATCTTCACAAACCCTTTCATCTCTGCTCCCCATATTCCATTATTTTTCATTTTGTCTCCCAAAGTTGAACGCAAAGATCCCAATGGCCGCCGTCGCCTCCGCCTCTGCCGCCGCCGTCCGCTCTTCTCTGGTTCAGAACCGCCCACTCCCGGCGGCTTCACCCACCACCTTCCTTCTTGGTGAGTTCTAGATTTTGCTCAAAATTGAGAAATCATTTAAATTATTTAAAAGTTAATTAATTATATGCATTAGGGTTGCCTGCATTGGGTAAGAGAGGAGGAGTAAGGTGTTGTGTGGACGGAAAGGCTAATGGAGAAGTGGAAAACAAGTCGTGCAACTTGGGGATGGGCGCGTCGTTGATAGCTGCTGTGGCGTGTGCTGCGGCCATGTCGAGCCCAGCCATGGCTTTGGTGGATGAGAGACTGAGCACGGAAGGAACTGGTCTTCCATTTGGTTTGAGCAACAATCTTCTCGGTTGGATTTTGTTGGGAGTTTTTGGTTTCATTTGGACATTCTATATCGTTTACACTTCTACTCTCGAAGAGGACGAAGAATCAGGCTTATCTCTGTAAACCAAACTTGTCATCTTATTATTATGATCGTTGCGGCTAATCTTAGCAGCTCCTTTTGTTCAAATATCAATGAAGAAGAAGTGATCGTTGTAAGATTTCTAAACTTGGTGATCCAAAAGCTTACGATTTCTTAATCGGCATTCTAAATGGCTTCTGATTTCATATGAATTTTGAATGAACAAAATAAGATTTAGGAGTCAAAAGTTAAGCCTAATTGTTTGAGATGATAATGTATATCTTCCGGATGATCATCAAATTTTGATCTATCGGGTTGTATCCAACGGCCATCCTTGTTCCTTATCATACCTTTGTTTTCGTCTTGCCTCCAATTTGGTGGGACTAAGTAATGGTCTTTAAGAAAATCACAAGCTTTGTTCACCAACGCCGGGTCTCTCCCACTCGTTAACACGAACCTACGACCCTTTCCATGATATCTGTTTCACCAAAATTAATTTCAATAAGTTCGAAATAACTTTTAAACGTGAATGTTCTAAAATAAATAAATAATCTAATTATTAAAATTAAAACGATATATCCAACGTGTGGTACCAAACTCAATCATCCTACCAAACTACCATATAAAATTCTCACTTATCATAATGCATAATTGTCCCTATCGTCACATTTAAATATAATATATTCATCAAATATTGTAAAGAAATAATACAATATAATAATGTCAGAAACATATCCCAAATCCTTGATTTTTTTTGTTAATATATATATTGAAAATTTGGTGATATAATATTATCCTGTTCAATCATTTTAGATACCCTAGAAGATAATATTCTTTTAATATATATATATATATATAGAGAGAGAGAGAGAGAGCATTATGGTTATTCATTTATTATATTTTTATTTCATTTATATCAAAGGGTATTTTAACAAGTACATGCCATTTGATATTGTTATTTAAATAATTATGTGAAATATTTATTAAGCTAAAAAATGATGATTTCACATGATATAGAATTAGCAAAATGAATGGTAATTAGTATAATATAGGAAGATAAAAAGAAAAAGGTCAGAAAGTTACCCATCAAGTAAATGTAAGTGAGCTTCCAAATTATGTGCACAAACGGGGTCGTTTGTATCCTTGAGGAACGGTGAAATTTTATGATCCAATTTTAACTCCACGCCCACGTGTGAATAACTCCACGGTAATTCCTCCGCAAATTTCATCACAGCCGTTGGTACGCTTTCGTTGAATAAAAATCCTGGCGTCTTGGGTACCACGTCATGGACATTCACCACTCTCAATACCTGTTTTCATTTTAATTTCATTTTAATATTTCCACTAATAATTAATTAATTAATTAATTAAGATTAATTACCTTAACTCCCAATTCTTGGAGGCGTTCCTTGAAGGAGAAATTCCCAACTCGGGGCCCCGAGAATGAGAAAACCGAAACCGGCACAACCCGACCGTTCTCCAACCGGTTCACACCCATTTCCGCAACGTCGAAGCCGCTCAACACTGCCAGAGCGCTTCCCAAACTGTGTCCAGTGATCGTAATGCTCATCTCTTCTCCGGCGAATCTCTCCACCAACCGCTTCACCTCCGTCACAATCTGCTCTCTCGCTGACAACTTGCTGTATCCACAACCTTCGTCCTTGTCTGTATACAGAGCCAGAAATCCCGATTCCGCCTTCACCGCCAAATTAGGGCATGGAATCTTCGCCGCCGCTACTGGTTTCAGAAAATCCATTAGATCCACGATCCATTCCAACCGCGTTACGGTGCCTCTCCACGCTATGGCGATGTCTCGCCGGCCGAGGAGTTTCGATTTCGCGTCGTTTGATACCGCGACGTAGCCGATCCAGTTCGCGTTCTTGCTCCATACCTTTGGCCATCGCGATTTCTTGAAGAAATTCGGCAGGTTGATGTTTGATGTTGCGTAGAGGTACCGCGTTACTTCGTAACCTCCGCTTTCCATTCCGAGTTGTTCGAAGAATTTGTTTCGACTGAATCGACAACTCCCGCAGTATTTCGAGAACGGATCGTAATCGAAGGCATCGTAGCAGGATTGCGCCATTTCACCGTAGCGGATTATCTCGGAGCGGAGGAGATCGTTCATCGGATCAAGCAACCCGGTCCAATCATTGCTGCCATGGATTTCTCGCCAGGAATCGGCGATTTCTGCTGCAGCTGATTTAGTTTCGGTATGTTCATCTCCCTTTGTTTGTTTTTCGAGGTCTGTAATAATGGAGGATGTGTCTCTGGTTCTTGAAGCTACTTCGTATATCGATTGTCGTTGTCGTTGTGTTCTCCTTGTACTGAATAATCTGAAACCACGAAAGTGACGATTTGAGGTTGAGAAATGAAGTGAAGAAGATGATTGTTTGGATTGGTGGAGTGAGTTTGTGATTGGGAAGAAGAGGACATTGGAGAGATGAATCGCCATTGACGATTGAAGCTCGTGCGAGGAAGATGAGGGAGATGAATCGGAGAAGATGATGCAATGAAGTTTGTTTATTTATAGTAAAATAATAGACATATGATAGAGTTGGTGGGACATACATTTTAGATCAAAAAAGTCAAAATTTAGTCTCATATTTTAAATTTTAGAAAACAAAAATTAATTACAAATCGTAATTGAACCTTTTAAAATAAATAAAAAAAGATTAATATTTTTACTTTCACTAAAAATAAAACATATATTTCGCACAAATAAATATGATCAAAACCATGGGGGCTTTTTGGTAACTTCACTTGAAAAGCAAAGACAAAAACCCGTAAAAGGGACGCTTTGATCCGAGTTATCATTTGATCCGTTTGGATTCGATTGGAGTTTCATCATTTCCCTCCAATTCTTCACACGCTCTTCGCTTTCTCTATCACCAATTTTTCGATGATTGCCCTCCGCCGCCCTCTCTAAAACCTTAAGATTCTTGCATAAAATTTCCCTTTCCTGGGAGATTTCTGAGGAAAATCATTTTTAATCCGTTTTCCTCCCCATTTTCTCCCTTTTTTTTTTCTTTCTAGGGTTCCGCTTCTGAGGCTTTCCACTCTCCTCCCAGGTATTGATTTCATCTTTCTGCGAACTTTATCCCCTTTTTTTTTTTTTTCAGTTTTTTTTCGCCGGCGATTCTGTTGCGTTGTATCTTTATATGTTCGATGAGTTGACGTAAAACTTTTTGTTGTTAAGATCGTACCGTAATCTGTGTTCCCAAATGGTTCTTATTATACTTTGATTTGTAAATTGTTCGCTTTGTGGAAATTGATTAAGGTGTTTTAGATTTCGTTTTTTTGCTTTTGTTCATTTGCTTTTTTTTTTTTTTTTTGCTTGTCCTTTAAATTCCCCCTTTTTCCTGTTCCATAATCTTTTTGGGGGTTCCAATAAGTTTATGTTTATGCCTCGTTTCATTCCTTTGAAAGTCTAGGAAACTTAACGGCAGATGGGAACGATCATATTAGAGAAAATCCCAATTATAACAATTAACATTATTCTTGGTGCTAGTTTTTAGATGGCTTTTAACTTCCGTGGTCGACCATGCCGTGTATCTTTATTGAATTCAATGTGTGGGATTTACGCTTTTGATTTTTGGTTGTAATTTAATGGGCTTCCTTTAATCTTCCCCTTTCTAAAAGAAAGAGAAAGAAGCATCCCTTATGATTTGATAGGTTTTGCTGCTTGTTTTCGTGGCCTTTTGTCCAATTTTCTCAGGAATGTATGAAGTTTAGTATCCTCTATTGTATTGTAGTACTTGGTTTAGTACTAATGCGTGATATACATTTCCAACGTGTCATTTCTGAAACTAATCATAACGATACGTTTTTAACTTTTACAATGGGAATTGTATGCTATTAAACATCCATTGTCAATCTCTTGGGAATCCTTCATATTGAGTTTTTGTCATTTTCAGCATATAACATTTGATTACTGCTGAATTCATTTTTAGTTAATAGTTTGTTTGTTGATCTTGCAACTGCGTTATGCTGCCATGATGTAAATAAACATCCAAATAAGATTTGGGATGGTCATAGAAAGTTTAAGATAGTGATGCCTTGCAAATTATTATTTCCTTGAGTAATAGTCATTCTAAATCTAAACCATTTTGACATTGCTATCAGGCATCAATTGTTAACAATGATAACCAACTACAGTTTTTATAATGCCTCTTGTGCAGTGTATCTATCTTTTCTAGATACCCTGTTTATACTCAATTTAAGCTTCATGTCATCTTTCTAAAAAATTACATGGGAAATTATATTTATTCCCTGATGGATTATTCATCAAATTTTATGAGTTATTCATCAGATACTATTCTGATATATTTGCCCGTATGGTATAAGATAGGCTAGTGACTCACTGGGAAATTTGATATTATGAAAATAGTTGAATCTTGCTATATAGTTGTGTTTCTAAATTGATGGCTGTATGGCTTTGCATTTACATTTAAGGACATTATTTGATATAGGGATATAGTATGTGCCTGACGATTTTCCAATCTTCTGTAAGATGCAAGCTTAAGCTGGGAAATAAATCCCAACTAATTTCATTTTTCCCTCTGAAGTCTGAACGTTGATCATTATTCAACGTTTCTTATTGTGGCTCGTTTTATTGCAGATTATTTTGTTATGGATTCTGCAGCCCAGACATTCCCACCTCGTGTGATGTCTATTAAATTATGGCCCCCAAGCCAGAGCACTAGGTTCATGCTCATAGAACGAATCATCAAGAATCTTACAACACCCTCCATTTTTTCCCGGAAGTATGGCTTATTGAGCAAAGAAGAAGCAGAGGAGGATGCCAAGAAAGTAGAAGATATTGCTTTTGCAACTGCAAACCAACACTTTGAGAAGGAGCCAGATGGCGATGGGAGCTCTGCAGTTCAAATTTATGCCAAAGAATCTAGTAGGCTTATGCTGGATATATTGAAAAGAGGTCCTGTATTAAAGGAGGATGGAGAGGCAATAATATCTGAGAGGGCAGCTGCCAAAGGAACTGTTTTTGATATATCAGGAGGACGAAGGGCCTTTATTGATGCAGAGGAGGCTAAGGAGCTTTTGGAACCCCTAAAAGATCCTGGAAACCTGTTTACAAAGATCTGCTTTAGTAATAGAAGTTTTGGCTTAGATGCTGCTCGTGTGGCTGAACCGATCTTGATGTCCATCAAAGATAGGTTGACTGAAGTTGACCTATCAGATTTCATTGCTGGAAGGCCTGAAGGCGAGGCTCTTGAAGTCGTGAATATTTTTTCTTCAGCATTAGAAGGTTGTGACTTGAGGTCTCTGGACCTCTCAAATAATGCCATGGGTGAGAAGGGTGTCCGGGCATTTGGGTCCCTTTTGAAATCACAGAAACATTTGGAGGAGCTTTATTTGATGAATGATGGTATTTCGGAAGAAGCTGCAAGAGCAATCTGCGAGTTGATTCCGTCTACAGACAAGCTTCGTATCCTTCAGTTCCATAATAACATGACAGGAGATGAAGGTGCAATTGCAATTTCCGAAATCGTCAAGGGTTCTCCTGCATTGGAGGATTTCCGTTGTTCCTCGACCAGGGTAGGTTCGGAAGGAGGAGTGGCTCTAGCTGAAGCTATTGGGACTTGTACCCATCTCAAGAAGCTTGATTTGCGCGACAACATGTTCGGGGTGGAAGCTGGAATTGCTTTGAGTAAATCTATATCTGCTTTTCCAGGTCTTACTGAAATTTATCTTAGTTATTTGAACTTGGAGGATGAAGGAGCTGAAGCATTGGCTAACGCCCTCAAAGATTCTGCTCCTTCCCTTGAAGTTCTTGAAATGGCTGGAAATGATATAACTGCAAAAGGTGCTGCCTCAATTGCAGCCTGTGTAGCAACAAAGCAATTCCTTAGTAAGTTATATTTGGCTGAGAATGAACTGAAGGATGATGGTGTGATTTTGATTAGCAAGGCACTGCAGGATGGACACGGTCAGTTGAGCGAAGTCGACGTGAGCACAAATTCAATTCGAAGGGCCGGGGCAAGATTCTTAGCTCAAATATTAGTGCAGAAGCCAGGATTTAAGTTGCTAAACATCAATGCCAATTATATATCTGAAGAAGGGATCGATGAAGTGAAGGACATATTTAAGAATTCTCCCAGCATGCTTGGACCTCTGGATGAGAACGATCCAGAAGGAGAAGACTACGACGAAGATGCTGAAGAGAACGGTGATCACGACGATGAACTTGAATCGAAACTCAAGGGCCTCGACATTAAAAGAGATGAGTAAGAATTCCACAGGTCTTGTTTTTGTTTCAGGTTTGTTTGCTATTTATTGATTTTTGCTTTCTGTATGTGGGGTAGTTCCATACCAATGTTTAACCCCGCCAAGTGTAACAGATCTCTGCTATTATTAGCCATGCATTATTAGTGTTCTAGTTTAGAGATTTTTGAAGAAAAATTAGTTGCTTGCTGGTATTTCTGTAATTTGCCGCTACTTTTTCAATCTCTATTTCTTGTTGGCGTTAAATCGATACAGTTCATCCAGAAGTTTCGATCACGTTATTCACCTTCAAACCTCTCGTCTCGTATTTTGTTTAAACCCTTCTCCCCTCGAGGTGGGGATGGAAAAGCCTTTATTTTCATCATCCTAGTCTCCATTTTTTATTTCGTTATATTATCGGTTCATAATTTAAAAATTTATAAAGTAACAAAATTCAACCGGGAGCAATTTATGAACACTCAATATGTCGAAAAAAAATCAATATTTTTTCATTAAGAAAGTAAATATTGTAATTTTAATATCATAATTTCTTTTTTTAATTGTTATTTTCATGCGTGTAAAGACAATGTCTGTTGGTCTAATAAACACGAAGATGTAGTGAGAGAAAGTGGCACGTGCGATCTGACACACCCTTCGTATTTTGCCACCAAATTACCGAAACTGCCCCTCAATTTTGCCGTTGAGCTCCGACATATCGCTGGCATCTTTGACCCGATTTTATTTTTTCATATTTTTGAATTAAAAATTAAAAAATATTGTCGTTTGCGGACATTTTAAGCAAGCATGTTACTTTATTCCTAAAATACTTCTATTTCTTATAATTGTGAGGTGGAAATCAATATGAAGAAACTATTCTGTTTTTTCTTTTTTTAAGTTATTTAGTAATAATTTTTTTAATTAATTTATAATTTCTCCAACTTAATTTTTATTTATTTGTTGCAAATTTTAATATAATGCCTCTAAAACTCAGTTTTAACTCAATTTCAATATCGTAAATACTAAAAAAAAAACTTAATTTTGTTTATAAAATCAAATTTATAAAACCAAAATTTAATGAAAATTCTAAATTTAAGTCAAAAATTAAATAAAAAAAAATATAATTATATGAACAAGACATTAAGAATCGCATCTATTCGTCTCAACAACTTAATAGATTTAAAAATCTAAATTTATTCATATTCTAAATATGTTATTTACTATTTTAAATTAATGTATTTTCATTTAAGAAAATTCCTATATTCAAATGATGGGGTGTTCATTATGGTTCCATAAGGATTTCTGATTCAGATTCAGCA